TAAATTGTAATTCTCGACCTGCTCACGAGTATATATTTAGAAAGTATCAGGCAAAAACGGCTCGACTGCAATCTGAAAATTTTCGCAGATCCGCTGAAGATGCGGCTAAACCTTTAGCTCTTGTCACAGCGCGAAAGCAAGCGGCTGGCACCGTTTGCCACGAGACCTCCGTTCTAATCCGGCATTCATGAGCCCACTAGAGCCCACTCCAGTCCGTGCTAAGCTCACTGTTTGTCAAAGTAGGCACAGCACGCCATTTTAGGGGTCCATATAAAATGTATCGACGACGTGGTTAGAATTGAATTCTCTCGATCGATGATCAGATATAAGAAAGGAACGGTCAACAGGAACACCCTGCCCTGAACTCTGCCCATTTAATTGTTGATGTATGCCAGAAAATTTTTTCAAATTCCCTTTGAATTGATTTGGGTTGACGCTTTTAGGGGGCTATGCCCATAGGTTCCATGTCCTTTGCACCCGTCAAAATTAAATTTCTCCTCGTCTGGCAGCGGAATCGATAGCCGAGTACTCCGTCGTCCGTTACCACTGCTAGCTAGCTCATTGATAGTCTTCTATGTTCGTTCAATCTAATTCAAGCATAAGTGCAGGCGTACATTCAAAATGAGTGGCCGAAATGGTTTTGATTTGTCGCTGGGAGCTCATACCAACAGTAGTGATTCCGCCGCTCCGCAGGCCTCGATCTCCAGTGGGAGGACAGCTGTGCAAATTACTTCCTAGCGGTCTGTGGGATTTAGATATTTCGCAAGTTTTCATTCATCACAGGGTTCTTCTTTCATTCATACTGATTGATGATTGCTCTTCTTTAACTCGTGTGGCAAATTAATTAAGAGACAAAAATCATTCACTGCCTTTCCGAGTGAGCTACGCCTCCAATGACCATTCTACAGGGTGGGCAAAAATTACGGTAACAAAATAAAGTGTTCATGGAAAAGCAATGCGGCCAGGAAGACACACGTGGCCACCAACAATGTATTCATAGGAAGTTACCAAACAGAATACAACATCACTTCTTGGACTGGCCGCTGTTCTGTTTATACCTGCGTGAAGTCATCTCGGGAACGCATCGGCCTGTTGTGTAGGTAGGTGACATCGAGCTTTCCCTAGGATCTTCTTTAATTCATCGATGCTTTAGTGATACTTGTAGCAGCCCATCGTCTTCAGTAGACTCCACGGAATATAACCCACTTGCTTTGAAACAGGAAGAATAAGGTTGGCACCCGTTAAATGTCATGAATTTGGAAAGATTTTGTAAAACAATTATTGC